CCACCACCGGGGGGTTCCCTTTGGTCGGTGGGCCAGGCGGGGACACCAGCGGAGCTTTGGCAGGGGAGGACGGGGGCAGGGGTGGGGGTAGGGGCGGGGGAGGCGGGGGCAGGTTGGGAGGTGGTGGAGCGGGCACGTTGGGACGAGGAGGGATTGTCCTGGCACCGCCATGCGTCTCGGAGGCATTGCCTAGCCTGGGAGATGCAGGGGGGTTGAGCGAGCCGCTGATGGTTTTGGTGGGAAGTCTGGGAGAAGGCGCTCGGGAGCCAGGGCCCTGCCCTGTCTTGGTACCTGGAAGTGAAACAAATTCTGGGTGAGTTCGGCAAGAAAGGAAGGAGAACCCCCAAGCGTGTGGGCGGCACTCAGGGCACTTATGCATGCCGTCAGTGAGCTGCACGGTAGACTCCTTTTTCTGCACATCCACTGAGAGTCCTCAGGTGTCACAGCTGTCACACAGGAGGGCCAGCCGGACCAGCCCCAAGGAGCTGTCCTCCTCTAAGACAAGCCCAGGCAAGGCTACCAGCCTTCCTATGCATGCCACCTCTGCTCTCATCCGCTCAGGGTTCTCCAGGTCTCCCAGCCTAGGGCAGAGGACCGCCCTGAGCTCCTTCGCCCTTCCTCATCGCAGGGCCACCCTCACACTCACTGTTACCTGCTAGGTCCATCAGCCCTTAGCTCTAGTCTGGATTCTCTAGTGTACCAACCAGAAGTCCTGCCTACGGAGGTTTTCCTCACTCCCAGAATTTTGTGAACAAGGACTTCCTTTGTTTCTGTATTGAGAACAGAAAATGCATCATTCCCTGAATATATAAGGTAAGTCAGGAGGGAGGCACTTGCCCTTGACAATCCAGGTCCAATGACCTTGAACCTCCCAGTGCCATGGCTTCTGGAAGTTCCAAACGCCCTTTCCTGTAATATGGAGATACTTCAGAGAGCTACAAGTAGAACTACCATTTGATCCAGCAATCCCATTACTGGGCATCTACCCAAAGAAAAAAAAAGACATTCTATAAAAAAGACATCTGTGCTAGAATGTTTATAGCAGCACAATTCACAGTTGCGAAGATGTGGAAACAGCCCAAGTGCCCATCAATACATGAATGGATTAATAAAATGTGGTATGTGTATACCATGGAGGTCTACTCAGCCACAAAAAACAATGGTGATATAGCACCTCTTGTATTATTCTGAACAGAGCTAGAGCCCATTCTACTAAGTGAAGTATCCCAAGAATGGAAAAACAAGCACCACATGTACTCACCATCAAATTGGTATTAACTGCTCAACACTTAAATGTGCACATATAGTAGTAACATTCATCAGGTGTCAGGCAGATGGGGGCAAGGAGGGGATCTGTATATACACATCTAATGGGTGCGGTACGCACCATCTGGGGGATGGACAGGCTTGAAGCTCTGACTCAGGGCAAAGGCAATATATGTAACCTAAACATTTGTACCCCCATATATGCTGAAATAAAAAAATAAAAATACATATAAACTTGGAAAAAAAAAACCCTTTCCCAAAAACTTATGCTAATTCCCAAGGGGCTGGCAATTTCTTGGTCTCCTGGCTTTCTCACCTTCTAGATCCTTCACTGTATCTGCCCCAACTTAATTCAATGCCTCTTTGAATTCAACAATGGCAACAAATTGCTGCTCATGGTAAGCGTTTGTGTTTGGTGGACTTCACAGAAGACTGGGGTGGAGGGGGGGCGGTCCCTGGAAGGGGCTCTGCACAACTCTGCACCATATTGCTGGTTCTCACCCTTTTTTCTCTCTGCCTGTCTCTAAAAAGAAAAAAGTTCCCCTTCCTCTTTACTACACAGACATTCTGTAGTCATCAATTAAATATGTCCTTGGAGTATCACTGTCTACTCAGGAGGCATATTAAAATACTTCCTCCAAGTATAGCGCTCTTCCTAAAAGACATTCTGGAGAGTACACTGTTCCCTATTTTAGCACCCCTATGTTTTATAATCCATATGACAACACGTGGAAAACACTTGAAAAAAATGGAGGCTTCTCACACCTACAACTTCCTGGGTTCTGCAGAATAGGAAATGCAGCAGTGTTCATTTCAGATCATAAACCCCAGCATCTACCAGGGGTTCTGAGCTTTTCAGAGCCTGCGGCTCCAGTGTGCTTACCCAAGCAGGTGCTAAATCACCCTAAGGCACTTGATGTCAAAAGCCAGGCCAGTCAAAGCAAGGCATGGTAAGAGTGACTGTGAGGGCTGACAAAGTGGGCAGGACCTCAGTTATCTGGCTTTCCAAATGGGAGACCCTCTGGCTATGATGTGACAGTCACCTGGACAACAGTGCTATTGAGTGGCTGTTCTTAAGGTAAGGCAGTAACATCATTATTCCTCTGTTAAATATTCTTTCTGAGGTGATTCCAGAAGAGATAATGTCTTTGCACTAATCCATCCACCTTGGCTGACTCGATTCCCCTGGGGGTCAAAGGCGGAAGTGCCAGAACAACCAGCTGACCATGACCAGGAGCGGAAGGACCCTACCTTCCCTTTCCAGAGAAAGGATCATCTGCCTGCAACTCCAACCTTAGACATTTCATGTGCTATCTAAGGCAGGTGTCACATTCCTGCCCAAAAGTTCTCAAACCTGTTTCCATAGTGCGCAGAGGTGACGAGGGAGGACCTGGGCAGCTCTCTAAACAAGGCGAGGCCAACCTATACGCCCAGTTATTGAAGGAAAGTTAAAGGGGTAAGTATGAAAAACAGAATAGAGACTACACTTGAATAACGCATCCAAACTTTTCAAGTGACTGAGGACACCATGCATCCAAGATTCAAAATCCCTCCAAGTGAGTCAGTTAAAAATATAGGATCCTCTGCTTACTGGGCAGCAAGCCAAATGAGAAATGTGGACAAACCTATTTGTATCCTAATGTGAAAAGCAAGGGCGACCCAAATCCTTGCTCGGCTTATGGTCATGCCCACTTGGGGACGAAGGTGAGACCCACAGGAGAGAGAGGAACTGGAGGCACACGTGCGGGCGAGGGAAGTGGGCAGGCCAGGGCCAGCAGAGTGCTCCAAGAGAGCCAAGGGGGTCAGGCGTGGTGGCTCACACCTGTAATCCTAGCACTCTGGGAGGCTGAGGCAGGAGGATTTCTTGAGATCAGGAGTTTGAGGTTGCAGTGAGCTACGATGACACCACTGCATTCTACCTGGGGCGCCAGAGAGAGACTCTGTCTCAAAAAAAAAAAAAAGAGAGCCAAGGGAAGGAAGGGAGGAGGCTGTCCTTCATAACAAATGCCAGCCCTAGAAATCCAAAGAAAACACAAAAGGAGACCAAGAAGTGGGTGGGGAAGGGCCAGCTCGAGGGCATCAAGGATGCTTTGCCGGTATGAAAGGATTCCGCTGTTAGAGTCTGAGGGTTTATCAAAAGATGAACTATTTCTTCTTCCTTAAATCTGTATACATTTTCCAGAAGAACTTTGCTTGCATGGGAGTCTAACTACACATTCTATACGACCCAGTGATAATGTTTTCTAATTGTATCTTATTCTAATTGTCACTCCCTCAGAGCTCTGAGCCACGGCTGCATGATGACTCCAAGAACCCTAGTCACTTTTGCCTTTGTGGGCCCCTTCCACTGTAAATATGTTTATATTTATGACTGCATTGGTATAAAGACAAATATTATCTCTGACTCTAAAAGATTGTGTTTTTTCTTCTGATTTTAAAAGAAAGTTAAATATTTTCGTGGGTCTCTAAAAGTATTGTGAGCCCTAGATGCTGTGCGTATGATGCCTAATGGGTAAGTCAGCAACCATGCTATCCATTCACAGATTCCATTCAATAGATATTTACTGACCACCTACTATGTGCCAGGCATTTTTAAGTCAGTGAAAAAATATAGCCTTGCCTTCATGGAGCTTACACTTATAGCGATAAGGCAGACAATAAACAAATAAACCACTAAATATAAAGTGCATCAAATGGTGATAAGTAATATAAGAAAGATAAATCAAGGTAACAGAGATATGGAATGAAGAAGTAGGACTGATCTTTTACGTGGGATGCTGAGTAAAGACCTCACTGTACATTGGTCAGGTGTCACCTGAGCAGAGACCTGAAGGAAGGGAGAGAGTAGGCGGTGTGGACGCCCGGGGAAGAGTCTTTCAGGCCAAGGGAGCAGGTGGTGCAAGGGCCCTGTGGCAGCAACATGCACAGTGTGTACAAGAGCAAAGAGGGCAGTGTGGGTGGAGTGGAGGGCATGAGCCAGCAAGAATGGTAGGCAGTAAGATCAGAGAGGAAGCACAGTCCTAAGACCTCTTCTATGAATGAGAAGGGGGCTGAGGAGAGTGCTGAGAGAGGAGAGCTATGGTCTGTCTTACCCTGGCATGTGCCCAATCTGTGCATCTACCTGTTGGCTTTCTCCATGAGTTTCCATCCTGTAACAGGCATCATTAGTCACTTCATTATGGACCTCGATCTCTAAATAGATGAATTCTTTTGTTCCACAACACAGTGTCTCAAATATCTGACATGTGTGTCCTGTTAGAGACAAGCAGGCAGGGAGGAGGACTGCCGGCTCCCTCTGGCTAGTCCCTATGGACACCTTACTGGGGGTCACTTTTCCCATCGTTATTTCTATGAAGAGAAACTGGTAGAAGCTTTATATCCCAAAGGATAGTTGATAATGCTCAGAAATTTTGAAAAATAAGAGGACACTGAAGAACATCCACTCTCATTATTGAGGAAGATCTTTGCACTATCTTTTCTGCCAAACTCTCAGTGAAACTGAGAAAATGAAAATGGCCCTATGAGAAGGTTGAAGTTAGATCTCAGAGCACCCTGGAGGCCTTATCTTTGCTGGACTTATCGGTGGGTGCAGGCAGCAAGTGCATTCCATGATGTTAAACAGTCACAGAGGCCACAGAAAAGGTTAGAAAAGCCACATTGTGGAAGATCTGGTAGAAGATCTTCATAGTCCTTAAATTAATGATATTCCTGGCGTTTAATCAGTTGCTGGCTGAAGAGCACAATAATAAGAACACTCTTTTTGCTCATAGTGAATATATATTAATATTTGCCCAATTTTAATTCAGTACTTTCAAAATATCTGATGCCCACTACAACACAAATGACCACAGTAGACTGATGACAAAAATGGCCTCGATCACCCACTCATGCCTGATTCCGTAATCTTTGAAATGTGACTTTGTAGCTGTTCTCATCAATAGGTGAAGTCTATTTACCCATCCTTGTCTCTGAGCTGGCCTTGTGACTTGCTTTGGCCAAGAGGATGTGGTATTACTAAAGTAATACTTCCTAAACTTCCAAGTTATTTCCTAGTAATGGGACCAAGCCTCAAGAGACTTTATACACTTCTGTCTTTTCTCTTGGAACCCCGCCTTTGCCATGAAACCAAGCTCAGGCCAGCTTGCTGGATACTGAGAGACCACATGGATCAGAGGTGAGTCAGGCCAGTTATTGCAGTGGAGGGCCCAGAGACAGGTGAAGTACAAGAACAGCAAAGCCACCATTCAACCTGCAGTTGTTTGCAGATGCTAGAGGGAGCCCAGCTGAGACCACCCTAAATTGCTAACCCACACAATTGTAGGCTAACTAAATGGTTATTTAAAGCTTTTAGGTTTTAGGGTATTTTGTTACACAGCAATACCTACTGATACAATGACTAAACCATTACAACTCACAGGTTGCTAGTGAGTCCACAGTGATGTCACTATGATCTTCTATTACGATTTGTACCTTCTGTCTATATGTTGCAGTTTGGGCCACCAACACACCATCACTAAGTACTACACACTATTGCGAGTCATTCTTCAACTGTTACAATGGAATAATTTAAACAGGATGATGATTTAAAAGATTCCATGAGCAATTTTGTGGTTTGGAAACTTCTAGTGCTTAAGGGCCCAAATACATGATCTCCTTCTCTATGACTGCTCACTAAAAACATGTCACTTACTGGCATGTCTGGATTGCCCAGTTGGTTTCATAAGATAAGGAGATAAAGACCACAAGACAGGCAGGCTGAATTCTTCCTTACCTGCTGCATCCCTCTGGCCTGCTGGGCGCAATACGGGAAAGCCACCAGCAAACAGGTCTCCCAGGGCTGGGGGTGTGCTCACAGCTCGGGAGTTCGTAGACCCTCCTCCTTCTTTGCTGGTTCCCTTAGAACCTTTAGAAAGAAGAGGCAGGTAGATAAGGACTTGTGAGCAGAGTCGAGCAGCCAGTTCTCAGTCTGGGCCATGGTCTAACACTGCACTTGTCACCTGCCCATTCTCCCACCTCTAATGTCATCCTTCCACTCAGCATCCTCCCTAAGCACCCTCCGCCTTGATACCCTGCAGACCCATGTGCCTCGGCCTGTCTACTACTCTCCCCAGTCCTACCAAAGAAGTGACTGATTGTGGCCAACTACCCTTCCAAAAGTGACCAAAACAAAGGGACTTGAATACTGCCATTCTGTAGATGCCAACGGGGGAACTGGTAGCACCTTTTGAATTAGAAACCAAACATGGCAGGGATAGAGCTGGTCCTATTTGCAACTTGGCTGTGGGAGGACTAGACAAAGAAAACCCATGGATTTAATTCATTCAGTCATTTTAACTTCTTGTCCACAGAGCGTTGGCCAGAATGGCAAGCAGGAAGGACGGACAGCAGTGATTTGTGCTTCAGAATTTCCCTTCCTGTCTCCGCAGCTCCTGGGCCTGAGCCCCTGATGCTTCCCTGCCTTTTAGTCTACGGAACAGAAATCTCATGAGCCCGGAGGAGACGGGTCACTAACTCCAGCCTTCCATATGATTTACCAACTACAGAAAATGAGAAGATATTCTGCTTAGACAAGAATTCCTGGCAGAAAATATTAATATTTACAACCTGGAGCAAATATATACACTGAGCAATTAGGGCACAGTGCCCACTGGTGGATGAAAGTGGCCAGATTATTCTGAGCATTAATACCATTCATTATTCATTGGAATGATTAAGAAGTGTTGGAATAGGAGTATTCCAATAAAATGAATTTATCTGTTAATTGGGCTTAACCAATTAGATAGTGGGTCTAACCAGAAATTAATTTTTATTGTAAGCAATGTTGAACTATGTCTTGAAAATTTGTCTATCCTTGTGCATTAACATATATAATTATATATAGGAGAAACAATTATATTTTTAGGACTATCTTTAAGAATTACCGTTGTGCAAATCATTGCAAAATATATGAAGACATAATAATACCTTACATTACAGGGTGGGGAGTATTCCTTATCTGAGCCTGGGACCAGAAATGTTTTGAATTTCAGATTTTGTAAAAATTTTGAAACATTTGTATTTACATAATGAGATATCTTAGAGAATGGGATCAGAGTCTAAACATGAAATTTATGTATGTTTCATATGTACCCATACATATAGCCTGAGGGTTAATCTTATACCACATTTTTAATAATTTTGTGCGTAAAACAAAGTTGGTGTATATTGAGACATTAGAAAGCAAAGGTGTCACTATCTCAGCCACCCATGTGGACCATCTGTGGGTGTTTGGCATCACCATCATTCCCGACTGTGAATTTATATGCTACAGATAAGAGGTCATTTTCTTAAACTTACTCACACATAAATACTTAATGGTAAAAAATATGACATACCATTAATACAATGAAAAAATGATGTGCTCAAGGTAACTAAGCAACACAGGAGCCGCACTACAATACCTGTATCGGCCGTTAAACAACAGCCACAACAAACAACAGCAGGCTTTCAGTCTCCAGCTGCAATGCTGTGTTTTGACTAAAAGGTTACTGTGCACTGCATTTTATTTTTTTAGGTGAGAGGAAACATCAGAACCAATTGAGGGACCAGGAAGTGGGTCCTCTGGGGATGAGGAAGTGCTGCTAGATGGCTTTTTAAAACATTTCCTCCAGAGTCATCTGCCTCTTTAACAATGGTTTTTGTCTTAGAAGTCTCTCTTTGATTTTATAAACTGGTATGATTTCTTGTTCCGTTATGAATGCACATTGCTCTGGCCCTTCCAGAAACCCATCACGCATTTTCACCATGTCGCTTGCAGGCACTTTTTCTGCAGCGTGACAATGTCATCTTATTACCCACTTGTGGCACTGTGGCCCTCAAAAACTTTTGGATTTGGGATTTTCAGATTAGGGATGCTTAACCTATGCTAAATTTTTCTGCATATACTATTGCAACTTTCAACAATCTTGACCAAAAAAAGAAAAAAAGAGCAGGTATTATTATCTCTCCCATTTTGCAGATAAGCAAATAGCCTTAAAGAGGTTCCTTGATTTGTCGGGTAGCAGAGCCAGAACTCAACACGAGTCATCGGACCTGGGCACGGGACTCCTTTTATTATATCATACTCTAGGAGACAGAAAGCTTCAGTCATATAATCCTCTGAGACAGAATTCTTAATAAATCTTCTCCTTATGAAAAACGAAACAAAAACTTTACTTTTTTTTTTTTTAAATGTTGAGACTTTCATTTTTTATTACTGAGTTTGAGGACAACGTTGACACAGGGTAAGTGATCTTTAAGTGCTACCCTACACAGCGTCCATAAAATGTGCTGTGTCCACACAATGAAATATTGTTCAATGATAAAAAGGGAAGTACTGACACAGCATGGATGAAGCTTGAGAACATTAGGCTACATGAGAGAACCAAGTCACCAAGGGCCACAATTGTATGATTCTGTTTCTATGAAATATCCAGAATAGGCAAAGCCATGGAGCTGAGGGCTGGGAGGGAGGGGAATGACTACTCATGGGTATGGGGTTTCCTTTTTGGGGTGATGGAAATGTTCTGGAACTGGGTGGAGGTGAACATTGCAACAGCATTGTCAAGGTACTATTGATAAATGCCATTGACTGGGATACTTTAAAATGGTGCATTTTATGTTATGTGTATTTTATCACAATAAGTAAAGTTACCGAACCATGGTGTTCTTTTTTTTTTTTTTATTTGCATCTGAAGAGTGATGGAAGATATGCTCCAAACCATCTGAGGATCTGAAAAGGAATCTCCGATTCTCTCATCCACTTGGCCTGTCCGTTGAGCAGGTCTGAGATGGCAGATGTGTGTCCTGGGAAGCAACTGTGGCCCCAGCCACAGGAGCCTGTGCCTCACGGGAGGTCGGGCCATGGTGCTCACTTACCCTCGATCTGCGGGGCGCTGCGGTCATTGATCTGCGTCACTTTTCGCAGGCGAGTTCCTTGCTGGATATCAGCCAACAGCGCGCTCCGACCTTTCGGATCAGCCCTTCTCGAGCTGGAAGTGTCTGTGCTTACCTGTAAGGGAACAAGAGGGATTTGCAGATAAACAAAACGTCCAGTCTGGTCTGCTGTTTCTCCTCCTGCAGTTTTCTGCCTTTCTGCTCCATTCCAAGGCTGATCTCACGGATGCAGTTCCTACAGGTCTTGATGGAGACAGTCTCAGGTCCTGCTCACACCTCTCCCTGCAGACCCAGAATGGACTCTTTCCTTTAGATGATCCAGGCCCAAGTGCTTACTTTGTGCTCAAACTCCTGGAGGTCTTAGCGAGCCCTAACTCATAGCCCCCTCTTCCTCCCTCCTAGGTAAGGCACCCCATACCTGGGCTTCTGTCTGTGTGTACCCGGCCCCTGCTCCCAGATTCTGAGTGATCACCCTGTCGGGTGCCTCAGGTCCACTTCTGGACCAAATCCTTGGCCGACCCCCGAGCTCAATGACAGGCATTGCTCCTGTGCCCTGTCTTGCCTTGGACAGTACTAAAGTCTTGCTCAGTCCCTAGGTATGCACGTCCTCCATGCTGTTGGGTCCCGGTGGCCCACATGTCTCTTAATTGAAGCAGATTCAGAACCTCTGAGCTGGTTTTGAGGGCGAGATGCTAGCCTTCATGTGGTCATGGGGCAGACGGGAGAACTAGGGAACTCAGGAGAAACTAGGGGTCAGAAAATTGGGGAGAAAGGGAGGGCAGGAGATGATGATGAATGTTTAGTGACTGCCCACTCTGTGCCTGGTGTGTTACATTAGTGCTCACAGTTTAAACTCACCTCGTGAGTTTAAGGTGAGTTTGCCCTCCTTTCACAGATGGAAATGAGACTAGGACCTTGTCTATTTGAGGTCACAGGGCTGGAGTTCAGACCCAGAAGGCTGAATCCCAAAGGCCACGTGCTTTTCACTTTGCAACCCCATAGCTATATCAAGGGCGTATGCAATCCTAGGATCAGTGTGCTACAGGCTGCTGAACTGCTTCGTAAATATATCCGCGAGAACAACTTTCATCCTAATTCTGCATGTAGCCTGAGATCTACTGCTTCAATTCCACTGCAGCTCGAGATGGCGCAGCAGGGGTTGCCTTGGGTTGTTAGCGTTGGGGAGCACCGGGAGGAACACTGGCAGGCCGGTGGCAAGTGAGGGGAGGGAAGGACTGCACTGGAAGACACTGCCAGGAGGATTCTCTGAGGTTAGGAGGTTATACCAATATGTGACCTTAGAGATGGCTGATCATTTCTCAAAGCGAGAAATACTTCTTAGCTCCTGCTGTGTGTACAGGGAATGCCATGTGTCTTTGGGTTTCAACTTAAACATCAGCACTTTGGAGGCCTTTTCTGATCCAAAATATAAATAAGGCCACCCATTGTTCTCTCTAAGGGTACCATATTCCTTTTTCCTCTGTCACATTTATTATGGCATGTAAGTCTACATTTATATTCCCATTGTGGAAATTTTCCATTTGTGGTTATGAGTTTAATGTTCATTACCCCCAAGGACTCCATATCAGGAAAAAAGACCCTGTTTGTTTTGTTCACCGATATATCCTCGAGAGTAGAATGGGACCTGGCCCAAGGTAGGCTAAGTATTTGCTGGATGAATGACTGAGTGGATGAATGACTGAGTGAATGAATGAATGAACTAGACCCAAGATGTATAAGACACTGCCCTTGCTGTCCAGGCATACAACGTACAGGGAGACAGGCACACCCTGCAAGGGAGTTAAGCCCCTATACGATGCAGCGTGTGACTCTGCACCCAGGCGAGACACGGAGAGGAAGACCCCTGAACACTCAGCAGTGGCCATGTTCATCAGGGCCGAGCAGGCTTTAAGGAAGACACGAGACCTCAGATGGTCCCCGAAGTACAAACAGGGTTTACAAATCCTTGCTATAGCCAGTTCCTGTTCAGAAAAGGACAAATCAGGTTTGCTGACTAGAAACTCATGGACTCTCGTGTCACAGACTGGAAACAAAGGCAATTGTGGTTTTGGCTAAAATGTGCTGAGTCTACAGTTTCACTGCTGACTCTCTTGCATGGGTCACGAATCTTCTGCAGGCTTTGAAGGGCACAAACTTCAAAGTCTGATTCTTGTTGCCAGGAAAGATGCCTTTTGAACCTTTGAACCTTTGAGATGCCTTTGAACCTTACAGATGATGGTTAACAGGAAAATTGTGAGCAAGGGGGCCCCAACCCTAATTCATTGGAGAGATATACAAGGCCTGTCCAGAAAGTATCCAGCCATTGTTAATATAATATATATTATAATATCAATATAATATAACATATAATAAGTTATTATATATTATATTGCATTATTAATATATAATATAATTAAATAATATATAAGGTATATAATATATAATTTATTATACATTAATAATACAATATATAAAATAATTTATTATATTAATATAATAATATATTATATTAACAATGGCTGGATACTTTCCAGACAGGTCTCGTATATATAGGCGTTGTATATCATATATATGAAATGCATATCTAAGTGCATATGTACAGCAGGGAATTTTTCTCAGGTATGCATTATGGTCAGGGATTTGGGAAAGAAAGTGCTTTATAATTTTCTTTCTAGGTATAGGATAAACAACCCAGTGAATTATAATGATATTCACAGCCCAAACAGTCTTGGGGGAAGCAAGGGTTAGGATGGTGTATTCTTTTGTTTAAAGAAGCAACTGGAATGATGAGAAAAACGCTATCCCTTACTTCCCCCTCCCCACCCCCAAGGCGAGGGTCATCTCATACAGTTTCTATTGTTTACTAGCAAAATGTATCTTCTGCTCCCCAACCTGGCCCATCCCAAGCTTTTGGGCGAGGGCTATGAAGAATGTTTCATGTCCTTGAAATAATGATTTTAATTTTAGTACCTACTTAGCACGTGCCTCAGTAAGTCCTTGACAATTCTACACCGCAGATTTGTTAATAAACATCTTCCAAGTCGGCAGGAGGATATGTAAGTCACGTCGTGCTCACATGCAGTTCAACTCTCTGGGCTAAATCTGGCATCGCTTTGACGTCTTGGCTGTCTTTCCCGCTCCAGGGTCTGCCCTGACTCTCTTCCACTAGAGGGCTCTCTCTCGCCTGATGTTGGTATGGACCCTTCAATCCTCTCCTCTCCTGAGAGGTAGAAAAGAATAATTTCGTGGCTAAAGCGGCCATATGCAGTATATTTAGACTCAATGGGTTTTGCATAGAAGGACATACTCATTTGTACTCTGAAGATGACATTACACAAAGACAGTCATTTCCACTCCATCTGCAGTATTTATTTACAACTCAACCATAATTTGCTTTCTTAAAAATCTTTCTTAAAAATCTACTACCCCAAGAGTTCTTGTTACTGTGGTTACAGGATGCAGAAAGAGCAAAGAGAAGATTTCCAAATATTCACTGAACATTTTATTCTATGCAAATCCTAATCATTGGCAACTTCACTAAATATGTAATCAAGGCAGAGAAAGCACTTCTGCACACTTTTCCCATGGCAGAAATAGGCACCAAAGAATAAAAACCACACACACAGCAAAACAAAAAACCAACAAAACATTACTTCAGAGTTTGCGCTTGTTCTTTCTTGTTAACACTATTACTGAGTGTGACAATTTGTTGGGTTCCACACAAAGCTTTTGTTGACTCAGTTCTTCTACAGCAAGCTTCAAAAGAAATAACCCAGGATCCTAAAAAGATGCAAATTAGATCATCTCCTTGGCTGTAAAGGTTGCCAAACTGAAATGTGCCAGTAAGGTTATAAACGTAAGAATTGAATGACAGCACTAACAGAGCCAAGGGTAGGACTAAAAATTGGTGAAGTGAGGTGCCTTTCCTCTTACCTTGATAAATTATAAAATCTTTTCATATCTGTTTGTCATTCCAACAAATGAGTCTAACCCTTACAGTGTAGTTTGGGGAAAGGACTTTGAAATGCATGTCTCCTGCTATTTGTCACCCTGCCACCATAAGCCATTCCTGCACCTTTCTGATATTGGTTTCTGTAAAAAATGCTAACAAAAATCTAGCCAGTTGATCCAAATTTAGCATGTTGTTTTTCTCAAAGATAATCCAAACCTATCATTTTAATACAATTTCATCCTCGTAGTCTCCTAAAGGTAGCTTCTCTAATGTGACTGTTAAACCCAAAGTTAGTGCACAGGTTTCCAGACACACAGCCCCGCTTGTCACCCCCAGGCCTCGGCCTACCCCTGTCTTCTCAAACATGGGGGCAGACAGGTACCAGCAGCCAGGGTACTGGCAGTTCATTACCGAGTTTGAATCCCAAGGACAGCCAGAATGACAATGTCTCCCTTCTGCTTCTACCATCTTTATGTTGGAGAACACAGAGAGCCTGGGATCCAAAAGAAAGACATGAAATATTTTTTAAAAAACCTAATCCTCCCCTCTCAAGCCTGACACAATGTTCCCTGCACCCCCAAATGTGCACAAGTCAAGCTGTTCAATAATGAAGCATATTGAGATTTAACAGTTTCATAGCTCATTTTTAGAAATCAAATATGCAATTCAAATCCACAAAGCAAAGAGAATGTACCCACTAACCTCCTTTTCTAAAGCCTGATGTCTTAAGCAAAACTGTATACAGACCCGTGACTGTTACCTAGAGCACAGAACTGGCTCACCCTGTGCCACATCGCTGCTCTGCAGGTAAAGCAGAATTAGGGGGCCTTTCATTGGGGCTATAGGCTATAGGCGAGTCTGGTCCTGTTCTTGATACTCATAAAAAAAGCCCACCCATCAAGGTTATCTCATTGGCTGGCATGACTTTGGGTACTATTTTCTATAGCCACCTCCTTGCTCAAGGACCCAAAGACCATCCAAGACTCTTCCCTCTTCCTCATTCCCAACAGCCAGTCCATCACAAAGTCCTGTTGGCTCTTCCTGAGTAGTTTCTCTGGAATCAGGCTCCTCTTCTCGATCCTTGCCATACTGTCTTCGTGCAGGCATTAATCGCCTCTGGATTCCCTCTTGTGGTCTTCCTGCCTTCTGTCCTGCCCTCCTCCACATAGCAGCCAGAGTAATCTTCATAAGGACATGTCATTTATTATGTCACTCCCATCACAAACGCCTTGCTGAGTCCCCACTGTTCTTAGGATCCAATTCAAATCCCCCCACACTGTGCAAGACCCTTGGTGACCAGCCCAGATTTTCCACTCCTTGAGCATTCCACACTGGAGCTCACCTCCAGACCTCAGCTTGAGCTAATCTCCTTTCTCTTTTTATACTTGTCTCTTGGCTATCTCTTAAGAAGCCTCCAGATCTTGGAGGGCCAGATGAAGAGCCCTGTCTGTGTTCCCGGAGCAACACGCTTACCCTTAGCGGAGCATCTGCCACCCTGATCATGTTATTCCACTGGAAACCTGCGCTGACTTTCTATCTCACTCAGAATGAAAAATTCAGTCCTCATTAACATCACCTGCTGGGCTTGACCACATGTCCATATGCTAGCCTGGGTTTACCTATAAATTCCAGCATTTTCCTATCCAAACCGGTGTTATAAAGCAGTTCTACTGTGTAACAATCCCTCCCTAAGTACAAACTGCATGACTGATAATATATTTTGGTACCTATTTTTAGCAACAGTGAGAATTTTGATTCCAATATGAATTTCAAGTTCAGTGGGAAATAATTGGAAAAATAGGAGGAAAAATGTTAGGGATGAAAAGAGTAGAAATGAAGAAATATGGAGATAGAGGGATCTAGAAATGTGTGTCAACAGAGCTGATGGAGACAGGTTTTGGAGGCAGGGATTGGAGATTCTACTACCCTAGAGCCATAAATTCAAAGGGACATTAAACATACAGATGGTAGATCAGATACTGGACAAAAACATGTCTTTAAATGCATGTGATGATTATTTCACTGATACAATGAATACTAAGTAGTTCATGGAAACTGCTGGAGAAAAGAGGGTTGAAAAGATGGTAAACAGAAATCAGTAGAGCAAGCCCCCCGGATACCAGTGTAACCCAATAATATATATGGTTTGAGCACTGACTCTGTGCCAGGCATTGTGTTAGGAGTGGGGGATACAGCGGGGGTAGGACAGCCAGGATCTTGTTCTCAGGGAGTGTATGTACATATGCATGTGTGTGCGCATCGTCATATTCTGCATAAGGACTTTCGGTCAACAAACTGCACGTATGTCAGTGGTTCCATAAGATAATACTGTATTTCACTGTATCTTTTTCATGTTTAGATATATTTAGATACACAAATACTTACCATTGTGTCACAGTTGCCTACAGTATTCAGTGTAGTAACATGCTGTACAGGTGTATAGTCCAGGAGCAATAGGCTATGCCACACAGCCTAAGTTTGTGTAAGTACAGTCCATGATGTTCCCGCAATGACAAAATCACCTAATGATGCGTTTCTCAGAAAGTATCCCCTTTGTTAGGTGAAACATGACTGTATATACATGTGTGTGTGTTTATATATACATATTTATATATATTCGTGTATACATTTGTGTGTATATATGTATATACATATTTTTTCCCATTATTTATTTTCCAGATCCAAGCTTCCTAGCTGGTCTCCAAACCTGGATCCTCATCTCTCTTTGAGACCGTCTTTAAAGCACTAATTGTCTGACTCTCCTCCTCAAAATACTTCAGTGGCTTTCCATTCTCTACCAAATCAAGGAATCGAGCCACACCGCCCCAAGATATCCTTCCTTGGCTAGTTATAGGCTCATTTCACCTGCTCAGGATTTCTCCCATGTTTCTTGCTTTCCACTCCCGAGTCTGTGCTCAGGCTACCTTCTCTTCGGGGCTGCCCACCCCCAGCCCTGCATCTCTGCCAAACCCTTTGCCTCCTATTAAGGTCTACATCAAATACAGTTTGCTTTAAAAAATCTTTTTTTTTTCAAAACTTCTTCAACTAGACTTTTCTCTGTATCATCCGCTCCCCTGACCCCAAACACATCTTTCATAATTCTCTGTAGTACTACTCATAACTTGCCCAACAGTACAGCTTCTATAGATTGCTCTTACCCCGTATTTTTTAGTGTAAAACCTAGCCACTCCCCTTTCTATTACCAGTGAATCCGGCTTAAAAAAAAAACCGTGTGAGCAATCTGTCAATATTTTGTTGAAATATCAACCTTAACCCCTGCCTCCCCTGGCATCTACCTGCTCCCACAGAACACACAGGTGTGGGAAGAGAAGTTGCTGCCTTTTGAGGTCATGCTTCGGCTCTGATTCTTCCAAACTGTCTTCACACTCTTTATCCTTTGGCTGCTCCATCCCTAGAAATGTGAATCCAATTCAGCATTGCTTTCTCTTTTTCAGTGATGCCAATATTCCCAGGCTTTTAAGACTGAATTTTAAATTATGAGAAATTTGATTCTGAAACCCATGTTGGATCTGGAAAGAACAATCTTGTGAATTTAAAAAAGGAGTTTGGAGGTAGGCGTCGAGGACAAGACACTAGAAATAGTTAATAAACAATACATAGTTTGAACAGTGTCTCAAACACTGGTGAGGTTCCATATCTTCTATCTCTTTGAGACTAGAAGTATTATCGTAAAGAAACATGCTCCCCTCCCAGCTTGTAAACTAATGAAATAACATTACTGTCATCAATTCCTACTCATCACCCTGTCACTTCTGGTTCTGTTAAAGGCTTTCCCCCATCCTCCTTTGAAACCTCAAAGATACCTATGGCAGTGGGCACACAGAGGTGATTTTGGAGTCGGGGTAAGGGAATTAACAAGGGGGCTTCAATAGGCAAAGTGTGATAATGACAATAGCAACAATGAAAAGAATTGGGAAGGCATTTTTACATTCTGGGCACTGTCCCAAGTACTTTGTGTGTATTAATTCATTTCAGAGATCCCTGAACAACCCCGTGATGTAGGTACTAGTTATGAGCGTATGTCCAGCTAACAGAGGAGGCACAGAGGTGAAGCAGCCTGGCTGCTGCCAGCAAGTGCAGAGCTGAGAGGTGAGGCCCGGCAAGCCTGGCTCTCTTACCCACTATGCCATGCAGCCTCTTACACCCAGGAAAACAGCGAAGGTTGAAACACTCAGGAAACACAACGCAGCCTGCAGCTGGGCAGGTGCAGTGATCCAATTGCTCTCTAGCCCGAGACCAGGGTAGATGTTGCTTCACTAGGAGGGCGAGAGCCAGAGCAGGAAGGAGGGGGCAGGGAAGGGGCCCCAGAGAAGGAAAAGGAAGGGCGGTAGAAAGAAAGAATGGGTGGAGCTTCTAAGAAAGCTGGGGCCAAAGGAGCTAAGTGCTAGGCCTTTGCCAGGGCCAGAAAGGATGGCCTAGGCCGAATGACAGACCCTGAGAACAGCCTGATTAGCGCAGTAAATGTGAGCCAGCAGCTGCCTTGGCGGGGGGAGGGCTGAGGGCACTTAAAATGGAAACTGCGTGGAGTAACCCTATGCTGTGTGGCTGATACCCTCAACTGTAAATAACCTGCACCTGAAACTCCCTTGTCAGGTAACACAGAGCCTCGTGTGGTCCTCATTCTCCTCTGATGCCTACCTGCTGGCTACCGGCAACATGCAGGGTCCCAGCGTATGGCCTTCCTTTGTTGACTCTAAGATAATGAGGATTATGAACGTCACTCACACATGAAAGAAGAGAAAGGTAACAAAAATAACCAAGAAGGAAGAAATCTCAAAATTTCTAGAAAGGTCCAGATGTTTCCACAGTGTTGTGTTTGTTATAGATGATAATGTACATTGATCTAGATTTTTCTCACAGTCACTGTTCTAGGTCCTTTGTTTGAAGAGTCCAACAGAAGCCTCTGAGTCTGGGCTTGGACTGGACCCTAGAGAAACAATGACTCACAGCTGAGCCCGAGAATAGCACTGAAAGGATCTTACTGCCGGATCTGATGGTATTCTCATCCGCTGCAGAACCTGCGTCCACACCTCTCTAGGTGGGGCCCCTAGGTCACCAGACCTGGGATGCCCAGCATAGGTGTTCTAGAACTCTGTCATCACCCTGGGTCGCACTCCAGTTCCAGGAAATGTCGATGAAGAGTGGAGGCCTTTCCTTCCCTATCCACACGCAAAGAGCCCTTCTTTGGTTTGCAGTGAGCCTCCTTCCCCCTGGTGTCTCCACAATCCACACTCTTGACACCTTTTGCTCCTCCCTGAGCCAATTCTTTTGGTGCTAGTGGGGCTACCAAAAGTATATGCGCTGGCCAGTTGTTGAGAAGGCAGTAGGGTACAGTGGAAAGAGCTGAGTTTAGGGGTTAGTTCTTCAATTCACTATTCTGTTCTGGC